TATCTCTGTTCACTTTAAAATGGCAAGGAAAGTCGCTGTAAGTAAATTCAATTGAGTGTTTTGAAGTTGTGAGAGTTTGCTTGGTTGTTTGTAGCTCGGCGCTGTAATGGCGCATAATCCTATGTTTCTCTCGCCGTAAAATTTGAGTCAATTTCAGTCGAGTTTACCTGTCTGATCATATCGTTGCTGTATTTAGGAGAATTTCTGTGGAATACACTTAACGAATTTCCTCGCTTTCTGCTATTCAATTTACGGTAGAAAAGTTTCATTTCAAGTGATTTTAAAAGCAACGACTGACAGAAATTGTTATTTGCCGGCGGGGAGGTCCGTATAGTGGAAAACTGTGACCGAGGTCTTGAAAATGCCGACCGAGGCCGCAGGCCTACACGAGCCGACCCTAAGGCGGCAAATAACATGTTTATTATTTTTTGTCCTGCAGTGAATTGGTTTTACAGATTGCAAATGGGTTTGTTTGCACAACTTTGTCATTGAATCGGCTTGCGCGCCGTGTACTAACGATTTGTAAACAATCTTCGCAGCGAACGAGTAACTCAGATAATAGACAAAGAAAGATGTATTAAAAAACAGATTTTATTCGACCTACTTTATGTTAATTGTATTTATTTCACCAGTTTAGTTCTCCAAAATTGTTTTTGCGGTGTAAAATTTCGTGCGAAGTTTGAAGTTTTACTACAAAAACAATTTCTGCCACTCGTTGCTATTAAAATCACTTGAAATCAGACTTTTCTACCATAAATTGAATTGCAGAAAGCGAGGGAATTCGTTAAGTGTATTCCACAGAAATTCTCCTAAATACAGCAACGATATGATCAGACAGGTAAACTCGACTGAAATTGACTCAAATTTTACGGCGAGAGAAACATAGGATTATGCGCCATTACAGCGCCGAGCTACAAACAACCAAGCAAACTCTCACAACTTCAAAACACTCAATTGAATTTACTTACAGCGACTTTCCTTGCCATTTTAAAGTGAACAGAGATAAACTTGCGTTGACTAATCGTCGATGGAAGTGTGATAAGGGCAAAAGATTGACGATTACCGCTAACTTTTAAATTTAGGAGCCGTAAATCGCTACAGCGGGAAAAAAAATCCGGCCTGTGGGCCATATCGTAAAAAGCTGAACCGGTCACGAGCGCGTGATTAACCAATCAAATTCGAGGATTTAGGATTCCGGCCCGCTTAGATGCTTGAGAAAAAAAATAAGTATATTTGCTATATAAAAACAAGTGTTTTACTGAAAAAATACAACATTCGTGAAATTCATACGACTTTACATCCGGGGCCGTAGAGGCGTATTTTTCATATCCTCAGTAATGGGGATATCGATGACGTCATTTCGCGTCATTCCATAGTACGGCTGAAGAAACTTTGCTAAACGCCGGTTGAAAGATGGCGAGCGATTGGGAAGTTAAATTCACTGACTTCGACATAAAATCGTTCACTCAGGTGCACGAAATGTCTAAAATGCCAATATGAAGAAAAAAATTCAAGGTGGCTTAAAACTATTCAAGGAGTTTCTTCGTTAACCAAAGGAGATTTAATCGAGATATTCCAGCCGCCAAGCTGCAGTCCACATGTGGTTTGTGCTTTCGATTCGTTTCTATAGTTTTTGTCTATAATAACAATAATAATAATAATAATAATAATAATAATAATAAGATGATGATGATGATGAAGAAGGAGAAGAAGAAGAAGATGATGATGATGATGAAGAAGAAGAAGAAGAAGATGATGATGATGATGAAGAAGGAGAAGAAGAAGAAGAAGAAGAAGAAGAAGAAGAAGAAGAAGATGATGATGATGAAGAAGAAGAAGAAGAAGAAGAAGATGATGATGATGATGGTGAAGAAGAAGAAGAAGAAGAAGAAGAAGAAGAAGAAGAAAACAAAAAACATTACACGTTGGCTCAAAGTCATGAAGTTTACGTTCTCGTGGCAAAAACAAAATCTCACCTGTTCGCTGCGCTCAATCGGGAGACATTGTTTATGCCACTGGGACATAAAATTCATACCTTGCCACCGTGCAATATCCTCTCTATATTTTTCGCAGCAAGAAAATTACAAACAAGGACTTAATTAAAATAGACTAGAATGCTTCTTAGTCTCATAAAGAGGCGGAAGACGTTGTAAGTAGTTTGGTTAAACGAATAAAGTTCAGTTAACTTAAATAATAAGGTGTAAACTAGCAAGCCGTACACTGCATTGCTTGAATGGAAACTGTCGACACTAAATCTTCAGGATCTAGTGGTCTGCTAGTCCAGTCCCTGAACTCTCCCTTCTCCGCGCTTCATGGGCGTTGAATCCAGGGGGGAGATAGAGAAGAGAGAGTCCAGGGTAACTTGAACGCACACGCTGAGAACGCCGCCATCCTCCCC